TTCCAAGTTCACATCTTCTAACTTATCCCTTCTTTATCTCTTCAAAAGTAATTGGAACTATCTTCACGCGGTAGAATCCGACCTTAAGTTCCAAATTCTCCATTCTCCAAGTTTAACTTTTAAATCTCCAATTCAACATTTGAAAGTCCTTCACCATTGATCCAAAAGCATCCACTTGACATGGTTTGATTCCTCTTCGTTACATCAACGTCTACACTTGTCTTTCGTCTACGATTTGAGAATCCTTAACCCGCAGTGATGACGCCGATCATTTCGAGTAAAAACTGCTACAACTGACTCTAAACCGCAAGTAGAGTAGTCTTCTTCAGTTGGCCAGATTGATTTTTCTATATGAGAGGGGGTTTGAACTCCCGACTTCTCTTAAGGGACAAGAGTTCACGGCCGCTTATGTTAACCAAGCTGTTTAGTTGTAACTCTTATTAAAATATATTTTTACCAATACTGAAATCATTCTTCAAAATAGCCTTATTATTATGTATGATTTATTGGATCTAAATCTTATACTAGAAATATTTTTAATATTTCCAGTCCAAGTTGCTATATATTGTAATTAGGCCCTAACACAGATTCTACCACAACACACTTTGCGCTATTATATTCCAGGAATCACAGCATGTAGAATCCATGAGAGAACTAAGTTGTTAGCTCTCTCCTATGTATGGAGGGTTTCATCAGATTTTCCAAGCATTTATATAGCTCCATTTACAAGCCTAGCTAATTTGTTTTTGGAGAGCACACCATGCCATAGCTCTTTCCCAGGAGTAATAGTTGTTCCCAATCAGAAGTTGAGAGAGACTAAGCTAGTCCTAACGAATTGAAGGATTCTCAGTTGAATGCATATAGTTTATGACTCTTAAGTCTCCTCATTACAGAGCTTGAGGTAGCTATTTATATATACAAAGAGGAGAAAGGCAGGTGCCAACTAACTAAACAAATTGCTGCCAACTAATCAACTCTAATCAGCTAGCTAACTGTGGTGTTTAATTAATAATATCACTCATTTCATTATTTTTCTCCTTTAATTTCTTTCTTGAACTGCCGCTGCTTCATGTTGTGATATCCAAAACCCAACATAACTCATCTTTGAAAGGAACTGAAATCCAAATTCCAAAGCAATAACTTCAACAACTACGCTATAATTAACTGCAACGTTAATTGCCATTCTTTTCTGTTGGTTCAATATATTGGCTGTTATACCCATAGCTAGTGTTTGCTTCTAAAGTGGTAAAAGTTCTCCTACAGGAATGCCATAGCAACATGTTCTGGTCGTAGGGCCTGCAGTAGGCTAAAACAAGCTAAGCTGCAGTACGTGTACGTGCATCTTGCGGTTGCAGGTTGGTACACATGTTTAGATATAAGGGTCCGTTTGGAAACCAGGAAAATGACTTCTGGAAAATGAGTCATTTTCCGGAAAACATTTTCCTTTCCGGTGTTTGGTTGCATTCTGGAAAACTGTTTTTGTGTGTTTGGTTCATTTTCTGGAAAATGAGTAGAATTGTATAATTAAATATTTTAATTATTTTATTTAGAATATTACAACATGTATAATAATATATAATAATATAATATTAATTTTAAATATAATAAAAAATAGCTAAGTTTTTCAACAAAAAAAAAAAAACTAATAATATATCAAAAATATTATGGTGGTGGTGGTGGTGTAGTGGTAGTGGTGTTATTCGTTATATAATAATAATAATAATAATAATAATAATAATAATAATAATAATTGGTGGTGGTGTGATGGTGGTGGTAGTATGACGATGGTGTGGTGGTGGTGGTGGTGGCGGCGACGGTGGTGTGGTGGTGGCGGCGGTGGTATGGTGGTGGTGGCGGCGGCGGTGGTATGACGGTAGTGGTGGCGGCGACGGTGGTTGCGGTGGTATGGTGGTGGTGGCGGCGGCGGTGGGTGCGATGGTATGGTGGTGGTGGGGGCGGTGGTATGGTGGTGATGGCGGCGACGGTGGTTGCGGTGGTATGGTGGTAGTGGCGGCGACGGTAGTGGTGGCGACGGTGGTTGCGGTGGTATGGTGGTAGTGGCGGCGACGGTAGTGGTGGCGACGGTGGTTGCGGTGGTATGGTGGTAGTGGTGGCGGCGGCGGCGGTGTGATGGTGGTGGTGTGACAACGGTGGTATGGTGGTGGTGGTGGCGGTGGTATGGTGGAGATGGCGGCGACGGTGGTATGTTGGTAGTGGTGGTGGTGGTGGTATGGTGTTGATGATGTTGGTGTAAAAGTTGGAAAATGACTTCCCCCAAAAAAAAGGGGAAGTCATTTTCCATAAAATTGCCTTCCTTTTCCATTGACTTCCACCCCATTTTCCTTTGACCAGTCATTTTCCAATGTAACCAAACACCAAAACCCCGGAAAATGACTTCCAGAAGTCATTTTCCGGGTTTCCAAACACACCCTAAATGTAGTCTAACCTTAATTAATTGAATAAAGTCTACTAGAAACCTAATCTCGTAGTAGTGAAAGCGGAAGCAATGTTACATTGATCTCCAGTCATAGTTGATGTCTTCTCAGTTGTGTTGTCTTTTAAAGGGAAAAGGGTCAAATAGGCCCTCAAACTTTAGCTTAAAAATCAATTAAGCCCATAAACTTTTTAAAGGTGCAATTACACCTATCAACAATTCATTTAGGTGCAATGAAGCCCAAAAACAAGTTAATGACCTGCTATCACAGGTCATTAGGGTTCAGGCCACCTACCGGCGAATTTTTCGGCAAAAAAAAGTGACCAGCAACCGACCTAGATTTGCCAAAAATTTCGCCGGTCACTTTTTTGTCGGAAATTTTGTCGGTCACTTTTTTTTTTTTTTTTTTTTTTTCAGAAAATTCGCCGGAAGGTGGCCTAAACCCTAATGACCTGCTTTGTTTTTGGGCTTCATTGCACTTAAATGAATTGTTGAGGGGTGTAATTGCACCTTTAAAAAGTGTAGGGGCCTAATTGACTTTTAAGCTAAAGTTGGAGGGCCTATTTGACTATTTTTTCTCTTTTAAACAGTAGACTGTTAAGTAAGAATAGTCATTTTGTCTCATATAACTCAGAACCTTAGGTGTATTGCTTGGGGCTTTTGAGCAGCATGTGTATGTAAACTAAATGTTTGACTACAATATACACTTTATATTATTGGGCAAGCACAAAACGATTGAATGATTGACTACAATATACACTTTATATTATATTATTAGGCAAGCACAAAATGATTGACTAACAACATTAGTTATTCAATCCAACCAAACTACTTAATAAGTTTAATTAATTTGTACCATATAATTAAAGTCTTAATATATAACATATATTATACGGGAAATATAATGGCCTAGTTTCGTAAAATAATTAACCTATAGATCAATTTTGACTTATTTAACCACTATTAGTTGTTTGACTTGGTTTAAAAATCAAAAGAGTTTGAACCTATCAAAACTCTTTTATCCCATCGCTATAAATAGGAACTCTTATTTTTATGTATTCATCCTAGGAAATAATCATGTAAATCTGAAAATATTATTCAGAGATCACAATGAAAATGTGATCCTGAAAGTAAAAGTCTATCCTCCATAAAGATTATGCATGTTGATCCAAACCCCCATTGAAGATCAAAATATTTAAACTCGAAGGCCCTTTAACGAAGAACAAGCTATATATATCAACCATTCTTTGAAGATCAAACCACTTGAATTCCAGAGACTCTTCGGTGGTAGAGTGTTCAAGGCATCCAATTGAAAAATCTGAGGACTATTTAGAGATTTGTACTCACACTACATTGATACTCAATGTAACCAGAATTTTGAATTTAAATATATACATATTCAATTTTTTGTGTTAACATCCCTTTATCAAAAAGGGCCAATGTCAAGTTGTCAACACTCAACAAGCTGCAGTACGTAGGTGTGCATCTTGCGGTTGCCGGTTGGTATACACTCCTGCAGTCTCCAGCTACAAAACCCACTCCTCGAGAAGACACCAAAAAGGGCTTCTCAACCACAGTAAAGCAAACCAAAGCAAGGATCCATTCAGTTTCTATTTTGTTTCCACTATTAGCCAGCTAGGAATCTACCAAAGCGGTTCAGCAGCTTACATCAGTATATATGTTCATTTTCTAGGGCATTTATTATTAGGCATTGGGTAAACTTCATATGTCAAGAGTTTAGTTAACTTTCCCACTCATAACCTACTCCCTTTTATCTGTTTTTGTTTTTTGTTTTATTTATTTTTTTCCCAATTTTGTTTGGTATGGACTTGTGGGTGAAGGACATCCTACTTTCGTACAATGCACTCATTTATGAGTCTCGTAGGTGGAAACATGTCATTAAGATCAATCCCATGGTGGGGTTATTTTGCAAGGATTATTTATTTTTTTATGAGCTTCTCATTTAATTAAAGAATTGGAGTGGTCACCAAGCTAGCAATCATTTCAATTGCTCTTCAATATGTGTTTTTTTTGTTATACCATTGGATTTTTTTTTTTTTCTAACCCAAGGTTACTCCATTGGCCCTTGCGAACAGCATGATGCACTATTTCCCTTCAACCCTTAGAACGAAATGCGACAAAAGAAAAGGAAGGAAGATCCATGGACCAACCCATCATCTCCACCCTGTAGGAACTACGAGATCACCCCAAGGACGCTTTCGGCATCCAGGGGTCACAGACGGACCATAGAATCCTGTTCAATAAGTGGAACGTATTAGCTGTCTGGTCTCAGGTTGGCAGTAAGGGTCTCTGAAGGGCAATCAATCATTCTAAAGAATAGGGCGGAAGGGGGGAAAGCTCTCCGTTCTTAGTTCTCATGTAGTTGGATCCTCCGGAACCACAAGAAAGCTTTTAAAACACATTAATGGAGTTACTCGCTATTTTCACTTCAATTTTATTTTTGTTCTTCTCTGTTTTTTATTTTTATTTTGCTTGCCTCCCTGAGACGAAAGTATCACTAAACAAATTTACAAAATTGTGTTATAAATAGAAAATTAAATAAAAATAAAGAGCACCATTTTCCATTATTAAATGCATTATTATTGTCTAAAATAGAGGGTAAACACAGAAATCTTAAAGTTACATGCCCGTTACAAGAAAAAAAAAGAACAGGAACGTGTAAATTATTTTCATTTTTCACCACCTAATTCAATTCAAGGAGTCACGACCTAATTAGAGTCTTGGTTGACAAGAATGCTAATAGTCTAATTTGAGGGATCCCACCGGCGCCGACACCGGCACCGGCGGCGCGCCGGAACAAGATGGGCACCTAATGAGACCGTTCTCGTTGCAGGCGGTGCAGCTCCGGAATCCGCCTTTTTCCCGGTAACATTTGTGGCTGCCGTTGCACTCGTCGCAGAGGATAAATCTGTGGCCGCTGCACACCTGGCACGCGTCTGGAATCGCCGGCGGTAGGCCTTTCACCATCTTCTTCAACTGGCCGGTCTCGTGGAGCTGCCGGATCTCCTTCGCGCCGCCAATGTATCTTCCGCCGATGAAAACCCGCGGCAGGGTTAGTTTCGTCGTTTCGCCGACGCCCATAACGCGCTGTAGCTCCTCCGTGAACCCGCCGTCCATAGACACGTCTCGCTCGTCGATCGAGACGCGGAGGCTCCGTAAGATCAACCGGACGGCCTTGCAGTCCTCGAAAGTCCGGCGGACCACTCGGAGGCTCGTGAAGTATACGACGATTTGGTTCTCGGTTCCCGGTAGGAATATCCCCGGCGGCTCTGAACCCTCTGTTTGCCCGACCAAATTCACCGGCGATTCCGGCGAAGGTACGGCATTAGGTTTCGTCTCGGCCCCGGGGAGGGCCTTGGGCGGAGCCAAGAAGGCGGAGACGACGGCGTTGGCGCGGAAAACCCGGTGGAAGATATTGGGTTTCTTGAAATAGGTTTGGATCTGGGTAGTGGGCTCGTCGGCGGCGCAGAGGGTGTAGATATCTTTGAAGGAAGAGCAGGCGAATTTGGAGGAAGAACTGCGATTCTTTGATGCGGTTCGAGTTAGCCACATTGGTTCAGAAATCAATACTCAAAATTGCCAAAAATCGGAACAGAAATTCGACAAGTTTAAGGTGTTGGGAATTGATGTTTCAATACATTTTGGCTGGAAAAAATTGAAGGTACGGAGAAGATAAGTGGTGGGCGCCGGCGATTGAGAATTCAGAGTTTGAGAAGAGGAAAAGCTGCGAAGGCGGGGTGAAGGGTAATTATAAGTGAAGGGAATCAGCTATGGGTTTTATATCCCCATAAGCCCATGGTACTTGAGATAAAATAAAGAAAAAGTTAATACTAGATTTCTTCCTTCACTATTGGGATTCACTACTTTAATTCTAGACTTTCAAACCTAGTTTAATTTCATTCACAATTATATTAATAGCCAAAGAACGGCATCAAGTTGCTCTCTTATAATGGAAGTTGTGGGATCGAGCCTCTTGCTTTTTGTGCTTCAATTGATTGAGGAAGTAATTATGAACCGATACTACATTGTAATAGAGTCAGTAGTATTTTAAAAAAAAAAATTGTTAATCAAAATGGTCCTAATAAAGACTTTTTTGGTTTTTTAGTTTGGACAAAGGTCTATTTTAGGTAAAAATTGCATAATTGGATGAAATTGAAAAAGTTTAAAAGTTAATAACTAAAGTAGTGAAATCTTAATAGTCGAGACCAAATCGCAGTTGTTATACAGTGGACCATGGTCTACACATCGTTGTGTGGACCATGATCATCGAATGGAACTGTATTATTATTAAAATGATACTTTATTATTACTATAATGAAACTAGTGTGTGTTGAAAATGAAACTAAAAAATAGAGCACATTATTGTCAAATGAAACTGTAGTATAATTAAAATGATACTTTAGTATTGCTATAACGAAACTAATGTGTGCGGAAAATGAAACTAAAATCCAGAGCCATACAATAAAATATATTGTCAAATGATCTGAAGTGCAATTAAAATAAAACTTCAACATTACTATAATTAAACTAGTGTGTGTGGAAAATGAAACAAAAAAATAGAGCTTGAGCAATAATGTATATTATCAAATGAAACTATAGTAGAATTAAAATTATACTTTAGTATATTGCTATAATGAAACTAGTGTGGAGGGAAAATGAAACTAAAAAACATAGCAATATTGTCAAATGAAACTAAAGTGTAACAAAAATGATATATACTTCATGATCTATGTTGACATAGACCATGGTCCACAGTAAAATTTGCCACCAAATCGAGTATTAACTCGTAAAGAAATGAGAATGTACTTGTATTATTTTTATTTTAAAATATAATGAAATCTATGAGGTTTGGTTAAGGTTGTTGGATGGCGATGGTGGTTGAGGTTTTGCTATATAAAGAGAATTAAGAGATCAGAATGAGGGGTCTTGATTAAAAGGTCAATTTAGATTGAGAATATAATTATTTATTACTTTAGAATTAATTCTTACTTTTATATTTGAAACAACTAATTTCTATATATGATGTGCAAAATTTGATGGTCAATATTTGACGGTAAAAACGTTACCGGTTGTAATATTAGAATAACAAATGATGTGACAAGGTAACAATAGATGTAACAATAGTTGTATTGCTTTTGTCTCAGTATAGAAAGTACAGTGTGTCCCCTGCTCAGCTGAGGGAAGTTCTATTTATGCTAGGTCCTAACGGTAACAACATGAAGAGTCATCATTGGGGAGCTGAGCTAACGACAAGAATATGAAGAGTCATGAATGAGGCGTTGAGGCTTTAACTCTCTCTCATCAAAGGTGGTATCAATGGTGGCTTCAAAGACAATAAAGGTGACACCTGTTGGAATTCCTAACCGTTGGAGTTCTGCCCGTTGGGTTCCCATGTGATGCTGAGTCAATGCCCATTTGTGATCCGGGTCGGGTGCCAGCCCTATTATCCTGTCAATATTAAAATACAATTTGTAATCATTTGAGGAACTAAATGTAGTATAATCAAATAATTGGAGTAATATTAGTAAACTAACATCACACAAAATTTCATTCTAACTTATACAAAGTATAAAAGAAATAGAACATTTCCAAAAAAAAAAAAAAAAAGAGTAAAAAGTAAATTTTTGTATATCAAAGAGCAATATTGTTTATTTAATTTACACCTAGTGAGTCATGACTTATATATGACACGATTAAATAGAAAATATGTAAAAATTAATTAGAAAACAAATAAATTACTAACAAACTAAGAAATTGAATGAAATTAGCTTACATGCTATAATAGACTTGTGAATTTGATTAAAGAAATGTGATATAACAATTTTGATTAAATAGTATTATAACTACAAGCTAAGAGACAATTCGTGTCCAACAAAAATTCAATATACAATATATTAAACATTATGTACAACTCTCTTAGCACAAAATAATAATAATAATAATAATAATAATAATAATAATAATAATAATAATAATAATAATAATATGTTGGGTAATATGGTTTAAAATCCCAAAAATAATAATAATCCTACAGAAAGATTAATATTATATGGGAAAACATAAAATTGGGAAGGAAAAGGTTGAGTGTTTGGGTATAGGTTTAGCACAAGTTCGAACACAAGGTTCTTTTCCTTAAAACCTTATTTGCTACCTCCCACAAGTGCTAGGAGCGTTGTAGCCTAGGTTTCCCAGGATAAAACGTGCTACGATTCCTTGTTTAAGCACCTAAACAAGGAACCTGGCAAACAAAGTAAAGTAGAGAACACTAGTTGGTAAAGAAGAGAGTAGAAGCAGAGTTTTGGGAAGCTGAAAGCTACTGGAATTCCTTTCGTTTTTGTATTGTGTAAAATGCTACTGCTCTACCTCTCTTTATATAGGGATGTTGGAGTGATAGCATTCAACATGGCCATTAAATTGGTGTTAAAACCAATTGTGTAACACCTGTAACGGTCACCACTAAGTAGGATTAAACTCAGAATTTAAAAATTGGAATTAAAACAGTATTAATTCCGTAACAGATGAGTTTAATCTTCTGCACTTTCGGGTTTCAGACCGTTGGGGTGCAGGTTCACACGAGAGCACACGGACCAGCAACACGAGAGTACATCTCCCGTGCTCACTGTGGTGCAACCCGAGAGTGCACCACTCTCGTGGTCACAGAATGCACAAGAGTTGTGCTCTCGGTGCACCACAGCCTCTCATGCTCCTCTGTAGCACGAGAGTAGGTCACAGATGCACGAGAGTTGTGCTCTCGGTTCGGTTCCGGCCGAACCAAGTGACTATATCAGTGGCATAACTTAGCCCGCAAGGCCAGCCCATTTCCAGACGACATTCGTGCCCGCAAGTGCCGGCGCACGCGAGCTCGGGCTTGATTTCAAGCCTTTTTGATGTCCTCTAGTTGGATTTTGATTTGCACCCCCCCCCCCCCCCCCCCGCGCGAGAGAGCCTCTATGCTATACAATTCTACAAGCTTGAAAGGAGCTCATGTATATAAGGGGGGCAAATCTTGTTTCCAAACCAATGTGGGACAAAGTCATACATTTTCCCTTCATTTCCCAACTTAAATGGGTCTACTTTGAGAATCAATATCTCATTCACCCATTATCCGTTTTGAGCGTACAATATATCAATCTCTTCGTCTTACTACGAAGAATCCGAATCCACTTTGACCCGACCCAAATCGGTAGTGGACCCCACTGATAATTGTACCACAAAATAGCCACTTAATATGCCATTTTATGCCATTTTAAGCTAATTTTTCCAACAATCCCCCACATGAATGAAAATTGATTTTCGGGGTAGTTTTAAAACGGAAACAACTGTGTTCAATGGTCGATCCCTGCATAGGATAGGTAGGGTCACACCCTTTGAACCTTCCCTCGTGAAGACACATTTACTCTACTAGCTGTACGGTAGAACGCGATGTCTTTGAACCGACTGCCGTTTGTGTAGACGATGACATATCTCACACAGGAACCTCCCAACCATGCTTTTTTCTCATGATTGTGTCCATTTTGGTCGTGGGTCACCATTCCTGGTTCTACAAGAGTTTGTGAAGAATTGTGCCCGTCAATTCTCCTTTGAAGCGACCCTCACTTCTCTCTCACATAGGTGATTCTTTCCCGAGTATCCCGCATACTCACATATGTCAACCGACATTCGAATCACTAAAGCATTTAACATGCTAACCTTGTGCGGGAGCCACTGTTTCTAACAAGGAGTGGTAGGGAATCCGAGACCCCCACAGTGACACGCTCCGTTCCATAATTTAGTTGTCCCATTGAACCTAGGTGCCAGCTAGGTTGGGTGTCCACTATAGAACTTTATACCAAGGGCTTTAGACCCATTCCTCGTCTCAACTTCTCCACAACTACTCTACATAACCCTTTGGTTAACGGATCCGCTATATTGTCTTCTGACTTTACGTAGTCAATCGAGACAACACCAGTTGTGAGAAGTTGTCTAATGGTATTATGTCTACGACGCACATGTCTAGACTTACCATTATACATATGATTCTGTACTCGTCCAATTGCAGCTTGACTATCGCAATGCACACACATTGGAGGTACAGGTCTTTCCCAATTTGGAATATCCTCTAAAAAATGGCGTAGCCATTCAGCCTCTTCACAACATTTGTCCAAGGCTATCAGCTCAGATTCCATCGTGGATCTAGCTATCACGGTCTGTTTTGAGGATTTCCATGCAACGGCTGCACCGGCTAGTGTAAACACGTAGCCACTCGTGGACTTAGAGTCCTTAATATCAGATATCCAGCTAGCGTCGCTATACCCTTCAAGTACAGCAGGATATCTCCCATAGTGCAGTCCAAGGTCTCGAGTATACCTTAAGTATCTCAGAACCTTCACTATTGCCGTCCAGTGCATGGCACCGGCGTTACTCGTATATCTACTGAGTTTACTAACCGCAAAGGCAATATCCGGCCTAGTACAGCTCATTAGATACATCAAACTACCAATAACCCGAGCATATTCTACTTGAGAAATACACTCTCCGTGGTTCTTGGTTAGATGAACGCTTCGATCTAATGGCGTCCTAGTCCCTTGATGATTATCCTTGTTAAATTTTTCAAGGATTTTATCAATATAATGTGATTGGCTTAACACCAGACCATCAGGTCTTCTAATGATTCTAATCCCGATGATTAAATCAGCCAAACCCATATCCTTCATGTCAAATCTCGTATTTAACATGTTTTTGGTAGACTTGATCATTCGATCGTTACTACCAACGATGAGCA